ATTCTTAGCTTCAACTTCAGCAAACTTCTTTCTAAGTTCGGGAATCTCAGCATTCTCAGCCTTAAGTTCTGCATTCTCAGCTTCAAGGTCTACAATACGTTGCTCTAATAATTTAAGATCTGATGCCATGTTAGATATTTTTATATAAGATGTGAATTATTCAATATTCTGTAAAAATGCCAAAAAATTTGCGTGAATTTTATTCACGGAAAAAATCACGCGCGCGTTCCATTTCGGAACGCCGATCAGTTTCGCCAAGAAAAAATTTTATTAATATATGCGAAAAATAAATACAAATGTTCGGGACCTAGCCAGTGATACATGACGTCTATACTACTGTCTGCGTGAAAAAATTCTCGATCATATACCGATATCAATACAATAAAATTTACGAAATACACATGCAAAAATAAACTGATTGTATATGCAAAATGGAGCCACCGGGGCCAAGTTTATTGCGCCAATAAAAATAAAAATAAAACAAATATTCGAAGTGGGTTATTTTCCTGCATCAATTCGTGTTTTTATTTATATTTGCGCGATGTTTTTTATTTGTGTAAAGTTTTTATAAAATAAAAAGAATGAGTTATTTTTTTTAATGTAACTTTTGATATCATTTTTGACTAATTTATGGTGTTACTTTGATTCCATTAAGTGCCTTCTTTATTTGATGAAAAATATGACAGCTGATATAAATAGCAAAATACAATAATTATTGAAAAGGCTAATTACCCATATACAATTTAATGCTCCGACTTATATTTTTCTTCAACTCGACGCCTTTTAGCATCAGGTGCTTTTTCTACCGTTATTCTATCTTTCAGCAAACCCACAATAATTTCCATTACTTTCTTTACATTCCTTTTCAGATCCGCATCATCCTTGAGTGCTGATTTAGTGAGCGAAATATGGTATTCTGTTTCACTAGTACAATAAATACCTTCAGTCGTATACAATATGAAGTACCAATCCGTACCTAATATTATACAAAATGAGATTAAAAAGTTTACCTACAAACTTTGCAAAGCAAAATTATTACCCGTTGAAACTATGCCGTATAAATATTCATAGTCATCCCCACCAAAGGCATCACTCGCCTTACGTTTCTTTTGTTTTTTCAAATTCGTCTGGCAGGAACTTTCCAGTTGGACAAGGTTTTGTGCAAATCCGATGGCCGGTAAATTTTGTTTACCTTCTGCTACACATAATAAATCTTCTGTATCCGTTATACCATAGTCGGCTCGACCAGATGATTGCTCACCTATGATTTCTTGTTCTAAACGGATTATTATCTCTTTACCGGTAATCTTTCTTGCTATACGAACTGACGCATGAAGAATTGAAGAAATATATTCTCTACGCATGCCTTCATTGCTGTCGGCTACTGTTCCCATGTTCTCCAGTTTTAATAATATATCCGAGATGCAGTGGCGAAGCACTTCGTCTTTCTCATCGAGCGCGTGTAATCCTGGTATTCACATGACAAAGTAGAATCAGCGAAAACGAATAAAACCATGTCTACTTAAGTACATCTACCTTACCCGGCTGAAATTGTGGAATACTTGTTATGCAATTACTGTCAATACCATACTTCGCCAAAACTTCCTTAAAATCTTTTAGAGTGCGATATGACGAAAATGCTCTCAATTTTTTATCCTTGACTTCTTTTGCAAACTCCACGAGAGCCGTCGCAGGTCCAAAACTCAATCCTAAGCTACGAAATTCATCCTTAGTAGTCTTAAAAAATGTACGACCGGAAATTTCCTCTTTGCGTAAGATTTCGAAATGAGGATCAGTAAGTTGCAAATCTTCACCACGCAAAAATTCTATAAGTTTTTCTGTATTTAATTGTTTAACCATTTCAGCCAAAGTAGGAGCTTGTTTTTCTCCGCTTGCATTGTTAGAAGAACTGGAGGTTGGAGAGATTGGAGTTGAAGTGGCCGACATTTTAGTTATCGCTATATATAATTTTTTGGTAAATTTTATTGGAGCAACTATGGCACACAAAAAAAAAAGGGTGTAAGAATAATTCTGTTTTTAAATATCCGGCATGCATGTGAGCTAATTGACTAAATTTAGGCACTTTGAGCTTGTGCCCCGTCTCACAAATAAGTTATGCATAACGATGAGCCTTGCAAGGTACAGTAATACAGTAATACAGATAAAGCGAAATTTATTCTAACACGTTATCGCATTCACATCGCTTATATATTCCATCCGCCACCTTTTTGCATGTTTTGCAATACAGGTGTGAATGATGATTGCATTCGTCACAAACCTTACACCCGCGCTTCCACCCTCTATAGATATGCCACTTCTCGATATAATTTTGTTTATCTTTACGTATGAGTATGTTATTCGGATATTTTTTCATTGTTATACGTTAACAGAAAAAATATAACGTGGTCAATAATATGTGGCAATTGCGCCCTCACCCACAAATAATTTATGCATAAGCCGAGATTATTTATACATAGAGAATTTTTTTATATATCAATATAAATATTTTTGTACCATATAACTAATTTCATTTTTTATATAGAACACAAAACTTTTCTTTACGTACATGGACTGAAAATTATTAATATATGGCGCAGTAATCACGTGAGTGTGACCTTCGAGGTCACGTCCACGTGACTTATACGATTGATTCTGTTGGGGGTTTATCAGGAATTTGAGATATTACATAGTTAATTTGATCAACGGTTAATTTGGCAATTGTTAATGCACTAAAAGATTCTACTCGTCCTATCTTATCTGTTCCTACCTTACTAAATAGGTGAAAAATCTTTTGGGCTCTTTCTTTTCTTTTTCGAATAGTAGTTTCAGGAGTACCATCGGGAAGTTGTTTTTCAAT